CACACACACACACACACACACACACACACACACACACACACACACACACACACACACACAAACGCAGCACTTTCCCACCCTCAAGGAAGCCTGCATGGGCTTGAGTGCTGGAAACTTCTCCGCCGTCTCTGCAAGGAGGTCAGGGCGGTGGTGTAGGCAGGCAGGGCCAGCACGCGCTGGAACTCAGGGTTACTGTGTTACACTTGGATGGAGGAGATCTGACCCCGAGCTCATTCTGAGGCGTCTTTGTGAGTGAAGCAACTCCATGCGACTCGATTTTTGCAAGTAACACTTAGGTTTGTTCGCCGTGCTGTAAATTTCCATTGGTAAAAATGTCAACTTTAAACGCCACGTGAGAAGCTGTCACTTAAGCTTAAAAGTGAGATTTTACTCCTGGGGTACAGGAGAATGGTAACACACTGATTTGAGAGGCACATATGTCATTTCTATAAAAATGTGATTCTTTTTGCCCTACTATCAGGAGCTGAACCATATCGTCATATATGAGCTGAGCAAAAACTCTTTGTGTGGAAAAAGAAGCAGACGATTATGAAGAGGAAGCTGCCAGAGTTCAAAGATGGAGCACTCTCTTTAATAACAAACATTATTAGTTATGCACACGGCATGCCTTTTATTTCAGACCCAAAAGCGCTCTTACATCAGCTGAAACATGGAAAATTCATGAGTGAGCGCGCTAACCAAAGGCAACGTAACGGATTTCAAACACAGTGATTGCTATTTGTCTCTCGGTGTGCTTTAAATCATTTGGTCTCCTGCAGAAATAATACCTGCCTCTGCTCGCTGTTCCAGTATCTCCTCCATGGTTTTAACCTCAACGTTACAGACTGACAAATGTGTTTTTCTTACAGCGTGTTTAATTCTGCAGATACACATCTTTATTTGTAAATAATTGTCTTAACTTGAAGTTGCATTGCAGCTTTGAGTTTAAATTCTATATTATTAACGGCTGCTGAAAGCATTATGGTCATTTGGCACTTCTCTTTGAAATATGCAAACAAAACTAAGATTGACACATTTAAATAAATCTGGATTTTATTAATTTAAAAAAATGATGATATATAGCTGATGCTTAATTTTAGACAGCTTGCTGTAATGGTGTGAACTGGCATAGAGTGCCCCCTTATGGACATATCTGGCAACATCAACTCTTGAGTTTGAGATTTACCTTGTTTTTAATGTAATGTTAATGTGAAGAACTTCACGTCAGAATAGTTAAATGGTCACAAAATAAAACACTAAATCTAAGAAGGAAAAGAAGACACGCAAGTCCCACACCGACCTCCAAAGCCTCATCCGTCTCTGCTCTGGACTTCAAATTGAGTCAGTCATCATCCACCACCATCACGTTCCCGGTCACCTCGTACTCCATGGTGGCCCAGTCGAAGATATTCCCTTTGGGGACTTTGTGTCCGTAGTGCCAGCCCTGGATCATGCTCCTGGAGAGCACATAGTCCCACATATTCAGATCCGTCATTTCCCCCACAAAGCTCTGCGTGGCCTCCAAGCCTCCCAGGTGTTTGTCTGGATCTTGCCCCAGGAGGACGGTGCCCTTCGGACGGATGGTGTGGCCGGGTTTGTAGACCTGGTAGGTGCTACGCTTCCCGTCCACCCAAAAGGCGGCGAGGCCGGTGCGCGACTCCCAGGTGAGGCAGAGGCTGGTGCGGAAGGTGGTGAGTGGGGGCAGGTGAAAGAAGACGCCGTCGCCGCTCAGGTAAAAGGAGATGCGGCCGTCCTTCTCGCGCCACACGTTGAGTTCATCGTAGTCGGCTGTGCGGTAGGCGAACAGGATGATCTGGCGCTCCTCCGGCAGCTCGGTGGCCACACGCATGCAGAGGGTGAAGGCCTTCAGCCCCATCTCCTTCTGCGGGATCAAGGCCACGTAGCTGAAGTCCGTCTCATAGGGGAAGACCAGGACTTTGTCGCTCAGACCCACTGCGGTTAACAAGACGATAAATCTGTGAGTTTATTATGACATACAGGTACAATTATGCAAAGCTTTTCTAATTGTTCCAATGAAGGTGAGATAATAAAAGTAATTTTTTTAAGCTGTTTTTAATCTATTGCTGTTTTTAAATTGCCTATCAGTACACAAGGCTACCAGATTCTCAAGCTTTAAAACAACCGCGAATTAGTTCAAATAAATGCAACATATACACTCATCGGCCACTTCATTAGGTTCACCTGTTACCTGCTACTTAATGCAAATACATCAACCAACCACAAAGTTGCAACTCATTTCATTTAGGTATGTGCACATGGTCATGGTGAATTTCAAACTGAGCATTGGAAAGGATAAGAAAGGTGACTTTGAACGTGTTTGTTGGTCTAAGTGTTTATACAAACTGCTGAGCTGCTGGGATGTTCCCACAAAACCATCTCCAGGGTTTATAGAGAGTGGTCTGATTTTATGCCCGAGAGTGAGAGAGAATATGCAGCAAGCGGCGATTCTCTGGGTGACAATGCCTTGTTGTTGTCAGGCATCAGATCAGAATGTCCAAACAGCTTAGAGCTGATAAGAAGAGAGTCAAATAACCACTTGTCATAACTAAAGTATGCAGAAGAGCATCTTAATGACCAACATGTTGAATCTTAAAGCAGAGGGCGCATTTTCTTGGCACATTTTGGGCCTCTTAGTATTGACTGAGCATCATTTAAACACCACAGCCTACCTAAGTATTGTTCCTGACTAAATCCATCCCTTTATGTCCACAGTGTACGCGTCTTCTGATGGCTGCTTCCAGCAAGAATACGCTCTATGTCACAAAGCACAAATCATCTGCAACTGGTTTTTTGAACATGACCACAAGTTGACTAAATACAGTCAGATCTCAGTCCAAAACTGTGCCTTTGGGATGTGGTGGAACTGAAGATTAGCATCATGGATCTGCAGCATGATGCTGTCATGTCTGTAAGGACCAAAACGTTTTCAGCTTAAGGAATAGCAATAGTTTTTAAAAGATAGCAGGTGTACCCGATTCAAACAAATTTGATCATTAAAGGCTGAAAACGACTGAAACAAAATGTTCTACTGTTGGAGATTTGAAGGAAGAAAAAACTCACTTTAATTTTAGAGCACAGACATTAATTTAAAGATGCAACGTGAAACGAGATATGTCTGTGGACATCTGGCAGTCAGTTGTATGGAAAGACAAAACCAGTCTGTGACTGTCTGGACTCACAGCATTTCTTATGTTAAGGCCTGCACACCAAAGCTCGGTCATCACTACGCTTTCCAGCAAATCAGTAATCCTGTTCTTATTCCTTCAGTTTGAAGTATAAGAAACGAGCTGGGAATATTGGAAGCTTATGAGAAACTACCAAAAACCTTTGTTTATTTTATTCAAAACTGACTTTGTTTATGGAAAATTTAGGTATGATTAAAAGGAATAAATAGCTTGATCAATCTCTAGCGATGGGTTTTGTTCACAAACTTTGGTAAAATGACTTTTTTTTTTTTGCCTATAAAACGTCGTTTTTAAATCCATACCTTGTGTGGATGAGGAGAAAGTCACAAGCAATAAAACACCCAGCAGAGCCTCACCAAACTTCACAGCGTTGTCGCTCTGCAACACACGAACAAGCATCTGACAGCAGCTCCGGACTGATATCAATTACTGAACTATATTTTAAAAAATGTAAGTATGTGCAAAATTACCGGGAAAAACTGATTTTCTTACCATTTTAATGTTGTGTTGTTGATGTTCTCTGCTGCCAACTCTTTCCCACTCAACAGTGACCCGTGCCTGGTCCTCTTCCCTCCTTGCACAGCCCCTGACGTCAGCTCTTTCAATGATGCTCTGACAATAGGCCTGGTGTGTGAGGGCTGAGTGACACCGTCTGTACATGTGACTGAGCCACGCTCACATCGTTTCATCTATTTCTGTCTGCATCACCATCAACCAGCATGAAGTGTTTACATCAGAGCCTCTAGCATGAACGCATGAAAATTACAGCAGCTCTTGCATCAGACAAACCTTAAAGGTTTTCAGCTGGTGGGCCATTCGTTGTTACACGGGCTTTAGACTGTGAAATACTTGGTTATTTGTTGATTTTTCATAACAATTTGTAACTCCTTCCTTTCCTCCCTCACCAGGTCGGGGTTGCAGTTGGGCAACCCCTGGATAGGTTGCCGGTGTGTTGCAACACTGCAATTTAGTTTCTTCCAGGATGCACCCCACCTCTCCTCTTACGACAGCTGGAATAGTTTTCCCTTTGACTGGAAGAAAAAAGATGGATAAACTGTGACAGAGCAGTGGATGTTAGTTACTGCCCCTCAGCCTCCTGGCAGTACACTCGTTGCGTGGCACAAACCTGCTGGAAGTACAAGTCAACAGCGCATAGATAGATGTTAATGCGCATGACACTTTGCATGAGTAGACTTGAGTTAAAAATGGCACAAAAAAAAGTTTTCAGTAGCACACACAAGTTTCCAAAAGTAACTAACAAAGTACTTTAAATAAATACTTTACCCATGTGATCTGGACCAAGATAAGCAGTAGAAAATTGATAAATTATCAGCCTCAGCTTTAAAACTATGAAGGTTTTAATGCAGATTTCACAATTTTAAAGAGACACTGAAAGCTGCTATCTGAAATTCAAAAACAGGGAAATTGCGCAATGCAGCAGGAAGAAAATCTAAACAGCTTTCGTTCTCATGTAAAAAACCCCCCAAAAAAACCACCACTATCGAATCAAACTACAGCCTACTACAGACGCAAACGCACAGTGATGCCTTAAAGAATAAAAACCAAATATAAGATTCATATAAGATTCACGAGCTGTAAAGCTGAAGTTTGTGTGGTGTTGTTTAATGAATTTGTGTTTGTTTAAATAAACAGAAACACCAGAACAAACGACCTCGTAGTTCACGGTTTAATGGGGACAAACAAAAACTGAATCAGGTGTTTATGTTATCAACATATCTACATTTAATACAGTTTCTCAAGCTCTAAGAGTTCAAGAAAAAAAAAAAAAGAACATGACAAAAAAAATGAATATCAAGAAACAAAACCTGAAATACACCAACAAATTATGTACACCACCTGCAGCCCAATACAATCCACTAGCAGGCCTAATTCAACACAGACACATTCAGCTGAAAAAGCCTGTAAACTAACAGCACTCGACTAAAAATGCGGTTTACAGAGAGAGACTGAGGTACAGATGAGATACGGTTTTGTAACTCTTCCAGCATTTCTGTGAAACGGGTCGGGGGGCCACGATGCTGGGGAACTTTAACTTTCTTAAACTTTAAAGTTAGGTTCACACAGGCGATTGGTTTCCGCAAGCTTCTGCGGCCGATTTCTTCGAAACTGTGAGGAGAAGGTGCATAAAAATCAACAGCGAGAAGGTGGAAAAACAAAAAAACCCAGAAACACAGCTTATCTTTGTATTTTGATACAAAGGAGAACAAAATTCACTTCATGCTTGATGCGAGCGTCCACTGTCATACCAGGTAAACAGCACGAGACACAGACAGCACGGACCAGTCCTCAAAGCAGCTGATGTAATCGGTCCAATCCAAACATTTAAAGGTTTTAAATTATTATCCAGCAAAAAGAACACATTTATTGGGGTTTTTTTGTAATACAGCATTTTGTTTTCTGCTTCCAGTTTAAAGGCCTTTCAGTTCAAGGCTCGTCATGAAAACCTTAACATTGTCCTGATACTTAAAAAAAGCATCTTGAATTACTGAAGGTTAAGTCCAAACCTAAGGAATATATAATGAATACATTCAGTTCATTGTCTGTAATGGGGTGTGATTGATATGTGAATAAAACTAAACAAACTAATAAAAACGTACACTGTGGTGAGGTGGCCGTATGAGAAAGGGACTCGTTTCCCTTTCCGATTATCGATTATTTTAAAACTTGCATACAAACAACCCTCGCTCACGACAGGTTTTTGGCATTTTAGTTACCACTTCGATAAATGTACATTAAGAAGTGGATGAATGCTAAATTACTTAATGGAAAAAGATGACTAGAAAATACTAGAGTAAACATCAAATAAGCCAATGTTTTCATCAATTCTGCCACCAAAAGTGTGGATTTTTTTTTCTTCTTCTTTTTTTAAAATAATTGATGGTTTGTGTGAAACACTGGAGTGCAATGGTGACGCTTTCCGACGACTGTGGCACTCAGAGAAAGAGAGAAGAAGAGGGAGGACCTGAGAGAGAGGCCCATATTTGAGTAAAGAAAGGAGTCGGGCTTGAAAAGACCAGAAACATCGTGACAGAGAGGAAGTCAGAGAGAAAGACTAGAAGGAGCAGAATGAAAGGAGGTTTTAAAGGGAGCGGGAGGCCATGGATGCCTCAAACGGTGAAGATAAGGGAGGAGAAAATGGGAGAGAGAGGAGGCAGACCAAGATACGTGGCTCCCGTTTGGTAGTCCTTAGTGTGGCTTTTCCTGCTTGTGTAAAGCACATATCCAGGCAAGGGGTGATCTGTTCTCTATAGTCTTGTGTTATCCAGGCTTTGAGTTGGGTTTGGGGGCATGAAGGAGAAATGGGAGCTCTCTCCTCAGTAGTCCTCCACCCAGCCGTTCTCCTGGATAAAGGAGTCTATCACTTCCTTCATAGCCAGGTTGGGGATCAGCTGATCCTGGGTCAGGGGACTCCTGGTGACTGGGTCAAAATGACCAACTCGCTGCACAGGGAACACGTTAAGACACAGTGTTAGCGTCAATGGATGATTTTATGAAAATAAGAAAAAAAGAAGCACATCTGCGCTATGAAATGCTACTCTGGCAGAATGAAAACGTGCTGCTGGACATTATACATTAATTATAAATGTGCAGCATACGTTGAAATACAGGACAGAAGGCAAAAGAGAGTTTGTACAATTCTAGGGAGCTCGAACTTCAATATTTGGCATGACCATCTTTATTTTTCAGCACAGTCTGAACACAGTCTCAGCTTTTGTCGTTTCTTTAAGTAGCCGTCAAGACGCACTGATGACAATCTGAACCAGAAAAATTTGGAAATTTGGATTAATTCACCATGTTCAATTTGAACAAATGATGTGTTTATGAGACAGGCTGCTAGTGAAAAAGAGCTTAAAGATACAATTTAAATAGTGTTTTTTCCCAGGGTGGGGCGCACTGTGTGTGTGAATGGGTGGATGACTGGTTGTGTAAAGCGCTTTGGGGTCCTTAGGGACTAGTAAAGTGCTATACAAATACAGGCCATTTACCATTTAGACACAGCACTGGTTCGTCCTTTGAGTTAGGTGCTTTTTCTATGCTTTATGTTGCTTAAACAAAAAAAGAAAAGAAAACAAAAAAGGCATTCATATGAATACTGAGTGAAGAAGCAGCAGGTGCCTCATAGACAAAAGTTGAAAGAGCTTCAGGAAGCCTAAAGAACTATTGCTTAAGACGGCTTAAAAAATAAAAAAGTCAAGAAGCGGGGCTCAAGACTTTTGCACAGCACTGTAAGCAACAATCATTTCACCTGTAGGTGCTCTTCAATGTCCTTGCGATCATAGGTGATCCCACTGGGTGTGATGCAGGGCTCCCTCATCAGCTCAAAACTGATCTTCCCACAAAGATAATCAGGAATCTCTCGCTTCTGACGGGAACAAACAAAATACAAAGAAGCATCACTCTGACCTAATACTGAGAGATCCTGTTCCCCTAAAATCAGGGGTGTCAAACACAAGCCCCGGGGGCCAGAATTGGCCCGGCAAAGACTCTGAGCCGGCCCACTGGATGGCATCAGAAAATGTAAATATTGGACTTTTAGCTGTATTATCACAAGTTTTATAACATTTGCTACTGAAAAAGACCTCCAACATGGCCATTCATATTACACTAAAGTAACTGAGTAAGAAATAAGCAATTAGATGAGAAAAAAAGTTCCAGTTTTTTCACTTTCTACAATAGAAATTTCTGGGATTTTTTTGTAATTTTCAGTTTAACTTCTTAGACTGATGGAGAGAGAGTTCGTATGGTTGGGCCCACTTAATATGAAAGTGGGTTTATGTGGCCCACGGTGTAAACTCTCATAGAGCCTAGAGTCACAGCTTAAACTGTTAATTTTTTCTTGCTATAAAATGGTAACAAATTATAGCCACAGTAATCCGTTTTCCTTTCTCACCCTTTTCAGCTTTTTTCTATACCAATTATATATTAAAGACTGTCGACAGAAGTGCCACAAACCCGAAGCTACTGAAGTTGAAACTCTTTGAGTCAACTTTTCTCTAAGCAGAACACCTTCTGAGCCAGACGGGAGAGAAACACTCGGCAGACGCGACGGTGTCGTTTCAATTACATGACAATTGCCACAGCCGACAACTATCTATAGCGAGAGCCTTGGCACACAAGCAGTGACCGTTACCATAGGAACAGCAGCAGTCGAAAACAAAAAGTAGCTGTTTATCTGAAGTCCAAGTGGATTTTTAAAGAGATCACAAGCCTTATGTCAACATGTAGCCTGACTGCAGACAGAAACAAATGTGTGTATTTACAATAGGTATGCGTGTACTGTTAGCATCTGTCTGTGTTAGCCAAGCTGTAGGCTAATCACGGATTTGTCAGCGTTGCACGAGTACGAAGCATTAGTTAAAAATCGTACTCACTTTTCTTTTCTCGTCCACTTGAGAGAAGAGCTCATCCATATCCATTAGATACTTGTCCTTTCCACGTCAGGGTTTCAGAACAACCGGACATATGAATGAATATTCAATTTCATTTTAAAAAACACACCAGTTTAATATTTGTTCATTAGGGTGACACTAATTACAAAAAGTAAACAAAATGCAAAAACATACATGTTTTGAGGAGATCTTGGCAGCGTCGCCTCCATTTTGATTGTCATCTTGTTTTTCTTTGTATTCTTCTAGTTCTCTGCAAAAATAAGG